GGCTCTTGTTACCTCTAAGATGTGTCTATGCTTTCTTTCAGCTACTCCATTTTGTTGTGGAGTATAGGGACATGACCTTTGATGTATTATACCTCCTTCTTTAAACATATTTGCACATACAGAGTTTACAAACTCTGTACCATTATCAGACCTGACCTTCTTGACTGTTTTACCAAACTGAGTTCTTACAAACTTCAGAAACAGTGATACACATACACAGACATCAGACTTATTTTTCAACAAAAAAATCCAAGACATTCTTGAGAAATCATCAACAACTGTAAGGAAAAATCTATTACCATCAAAAGTTGCCTTCTTATATGGACCCCAAATATCCAAGTGAATCAGTTCAAAAGACTCAGTACTTTTAATACTACTAACAGGGAACACACTTCTTGTTTGTTTTGCATAAGGACACACACTACATTTATTCAAAACTCTGTTCATACAATCTGAGTTTACAGGGAACAACTTGTTCAAAATGTGAGATGACACATGTCCTAGTCTCTTATGCCATACACACACCTCCTCTTTTGACAATTGTTTTTCCTTTTCCTTTCTTTCTGTCATCATACTAGACTGGTGTGTTATCTGATCCTGTGTAAGATTCTTCAATAGCAAGTACAGCCCGTCACTTTCTTTACCAATCGCCTTCACCTTGCCAGTGTAAAGCTCCTGAAACACACAAAAATGTGGAAAGAAAGTGACTGAGCAACCTAACTCCTTAGTCATCTTGCTTACTGACAATAAATTGTACTTAAATTCTGGAATGTGAAATACATCTGTAACTATAATTGTTGGAGATATGTGACAGGAACCAGTATGAGTCACATAGGCCACTTCACCATTAGGTAAGGATACTGGTTTTGGACATTTAACCTCTACTACAGACTCCTTATTAAGCATACCAATTTTCGAAATCATATGATTTGTTGCCCCTGTATCTATGATCCACACATCATTATTTTCAGATACTAATAGAGCCTTACCTGCTGCATTAGTCTGAACTTCATGAGCCTGAACTCCATGAGCTTGAGCTGCATTTCCTGTGTTTGCAGTCCCTTTATTCTGCTTAAGCATTTGTAGTATTTGGCTGTATTGCTCTCTGGTAAAAGTGCAACCTTGCAGGTGTGTTGCACACTCATCTTCGTCATTATTCCCAGCAAATGACTTGCTACTTGTACCAGGCACATTTGTGTTAAATCCATAGTTAAATGATGTAGAGCTATCAGACACACCATCATATGCCTCTCTTCTTGTATTACTGGATTCATTCACCACCATGTAGGCAGTATTTCCTGCTCCATTAACTGCCTTCCTCTTTGACTTGAATTCAGGAGGGTATCCAATTAACTTGTAACATTGATCTTTAGTATGACCCTTACACCTGCAGAATTCACAGACAATACCAAAGTTTTTCTTGAACTTGTTAGGTACTTGTGCACTGGTAGACCCTCCAGATCTTGAGTACATTGCTAATGGATCAACTCCAGACATACTTATAGAATTCATACCCATGCTATTACTGTTAGAAGCAAATCTTTGACACTCATCACTGACAACCATAGCATACGCCTGGTTCACTCCTGGTATAGGACTCATTAATAGAATTTGACTTCTAGCCTGTCCATATGATTCATTCAATCCCATAAGGAATTGATAGAGTTTTTGCCTATTTACATGATCAATAAAACCTCTTGATCTTTCACAGTTACAACCAGGGGATGGGACTAGAGCTTCAAACTCATCCCACAAGTTCTTAAGTTTTGTAAAATAGACAGACACTGAATCTGTACCTTGCTGCAGTGTTGCAATTTCCTTATGCAGACTGAAGGTTCTTGATCCATCCATTCGATTAAATCTTTCCTTCAAATCATTCCAAACACTTTGAGCAGTGGAGGCAAAAGCTACTCCTCCTAACAGACTTTTTGAAACAGAATTGAGAAGCCATGAAAGAACCACAGCATTTACTCTTTCCCATTGATTCCTTAGTTCAGGAGACACACCATCTTTTGTACATGAACCATCCACCAACCCAATCTTGTTCCTTCCAAGAAGAGCCAATCTAATAGACCTACTCCAAACAACATAGTTTTCAATTCCAACAAGTTGAAACGAAATGAGATTAACTCCACTAATGTCAGCTGGGCTTAAGAACAGTGGATGATTGTAATCCATTCCTTGACTCATTGACGTAGCTGGTGTGGGATTATTGTTCCCAGGATTTCCACCATTACTGAAATCAGTAACATGGCCACCATTGTTAATTTCTTGAGACATATCAACCATCTTCACTTTGTAATTGCGGAAGCTTAATCAACTTGAGACTCTGATCTTCAGAAATCCAAGATCTGTAACTCACACACCTGATCTACTCAGACTTTGATCGAT